AAATGAAGTGCTGAGTTTAGAAATAGCAAAAGTCTCCAAAGGTGTAGAAGCAGTGTAGATGCATCTGAAATTTCCTTGAATTTTCAGAAAGTAATCTGTAGTTTAAGACCCATTAAAAAATTCAGAGAAAGCACAGCTATCAGCAGCTTTTAATAGGACTCCTGGGCTTTCAAAAGTTCCTAATTGGCATTTGTACCTTTACAAATGCACCTTTAGCTGGAAAATTTCTGAGCATATTGACTACTGCTATAATAAAAGACTAATTTTTAGTAAAACCACCCAATTATATAGTAAAAATATCATGCAGTTTTTCAAAATTCCGTTTACTCAGTTCATATCTGGTGTCAGAAGCTAAAACCTATTCAAACTAAGCTAAAGAAAATGTGTGACTTATTGAACACTGACACCAGGCAAATCTGAGGAAAAACCGCGCACAGCTGGGTCTCATGAAGGTGGTGAGCCTGACCAGCTCTGAAGATCTCACAAGACCATCTCAGTGGACTTCTCTGTGGTCTTCTCTTCTTCACTACAACTAAATTGACTCAGATGCCAACTTTTAAATTTATTTGTGGCAGTTCAAAATTAAGAGAGAGAGAATATGAATATGATTTGTTTTCCTTGCGTATGTATGATGCATCTATTTGGCCTAATCAGTTGAGGTTACATCTGAGTAAACATGGCCACCTAGGCCCACATCACAGGTATGGTCAGTGGGAAGAAGCAGGTTCTCTCAGAAGGATGTATGGGCAAAGACACTATGACCGACAACTCAATTTTAATGTAGATTAAAAAAGAAGACTTGACACTGAAATATTTCTAAGAAAATCCAATTATTAATAGACAAACATGAGTGTATACAGGTAAAATGAAATGACTGAACTGTGACTTCTGTGCTGTCACTATTAGTTAATTGCCTCACTTAATTTCATCTGACACTGAAGTCAATCTCTCAAATTATTCTTTCCTAAATACAGACATTGATATATGTTTTTCCTATATTTTACTACCAAGCAAATTTATATTTCATCTAATTTGATGTCTGAGAGTTCCAAAGGTTTGTCTTCAAAACCTGTAAAAGGAAGAGAAGTGAAAAGATGTAACTATTTTAAAATTAGAAACATACACAGAACCTCCATAGCTGACCGCCTCCCTATGCTGACCACCTCCTTAAGTTGATTTGATTTTCACAGACTGGACAGGCACACATGTACCTATCAGTACAGTAGGCCTAGTTTCTTATGTTGACCACTTCTGTATGTTGATAGTTCACTACATTCCCTTGGGTGGTCAGCTTACAGAGGTTCTATTGTTATTTTTATGAGCTTTTATTTTGCTCCTTCTTTCTCCTGTTTACTGGACTCTCGTATTCATAATTTGGTAGCTGAGAAAGTGCATGTGTAAGAGAAGTTCTTCGGGGAGATAAAAGGGCAAGACCTTTGCTGGATATTTTCATAGAGCAAAACTAATTTTGGCTTCTCTACTGACCCTAAGCTACTTCCGTGTGTAGCCTCTTCTGGCTCCTTCACATTTCATTCTGAATTGTACATGCAGCAATACTGTCAGCTTCATTTCTTCTCTTGGACTTGCTTTGCCTCTACTAATTCCACTTCCCACAATAGGCCCATTCCAAAGCCCAACATATATACATTTTCAGAATGAGAGGTGCACTGGATTGTGTTCATTTTAATAATCATTTAAATAAAGGTATAGAGGCTTGGCTGAATATCTTGGTTGGTCAACTACAAAGAAATCTACATCAGCCTTGTTTTCAAGTCAATTTTAGACTTTGAAAGTCTGGATATAAAGATTAGTTGTGTCCATTTCCTTACTTATTCATTTTGAAGGAAGGATGTGCTTCTCATTGTCATAGCCTTAGTGATAAAAGTGGGAAAACAGGTTCCAGGATAGAAGGCAAGCATGGGATATGGGCAGTGGGGGAGGATTGGAAAAGAACAGTATCCCAAGGAAACTTGATCCTCTACTACCCAATTCCATTTACAGAATAAGAAAATACTCATTTTGTTGAACACCTACCATTTGTGAGCTCTTGATCCAATGGGTTTTCATCTGTGATTTGAGGGAGCATATCTAAAAAATTCACTGCAACAGAGAATTTAAATAATAGCCTTTTACCATTTCAAGCATGTTTTCTACAGTTATTCCCATTTTCTTTTTTTAGCCCTTCCACTCTAAAGTTTTTTCAAATGCCATGCTTTCTTAGGAGTTGCAAGATGCTAGCCCACTTTTATGGAATCTCAACCCATGAAAGTGGCTGGTCTATGGCCTAATGGGCAAAATGAGTAAGTAGACATCCAGCCATATGGTTCAGTGAACCATCTTTCTACCAATCTCCCTATGAAGACTTTGCCTCCTGCCTGACAATATTAATCACTGGGCATCTTCTCAATGCTTGCCAGCTTCCTTCTATATAAAAGAATTTCAGGCACAAAAGTGGTAAAAATAGAACCTAAATTATTAGTTTTCTGATGTATTATTTGTATAGGTAGATTTAGACAAGGTGCAATCCTCTACATAAATACTTGCATGTATTCATATTTTACATATATAAAAATACATATAAATATACATATATGTGTGTGCATTTATATACCTACACACACATACACACACATACACACACACATATATATATGCAGTTGATCCTTGAACAACATCGGGGTTAGGAGTGCTGATCCCTGTACAGTCAAGAATCTGCATATAATTTTTGAATCTTCCCCAATTTAAATACTAATAGTCATAGTTTACTGCTGACCAGAAACCTTATTGATAACATGAATAGTTGATTAACATGTATTTTGTATATTACATGTAATATACAGTAAGCTAGGTTTTAAAATCCTAATGAAGAGAAAATATATTACTATTCATTAAGTAAAAGCAGATAATCATAAAGTCTTCATCTTTATCATTTTCAAGTTGAGTAGGCTGAATAGAAGGAGTAAAAGGAGGAGTTGGTCCTGTGGTCTCGGGGCTGGCAGAGACAGATGAAAGTCCACATAAAAGAAGACCCATGCAATCCAAACACATGTTGTTCAAGGGTCAAACTGCACATATATAAAAGACAAAAATTCCCAGGTTTTCCCCGTTCAAGAGAATTCTGAGATGTCTATCTCAGTCTCTTCCTCTTACCTGCCTCCTGATGAAGATCCTGTCTTGCCATATTGGCTATTTTGAGCTTTGTAATGAAGAATAGAGAAGAGAAAGGAAAGAGGGTGGGGAAGACGAGACACAAGGAGCTAGAGTTGAGGTTAGAGCATGTGTATTTTGGGAGAGTTTGAAGTGAATGCGACACAGAAGTATTTTTTTAAAAAAATTGGTTGACGTTTTCATCCTCCTTTCAAAGTGTTCATAAAACATAAGAAAAAGAGGTACTGAAAAATTACTTCAGTTAGTGGACTTTGTTCCCTGAGACTGCACAGTGTGAGTCAGGACCACGAACACCACAGAGGTTGTTTATAATGCCACTGACTTACCATCTGACACCGCTAGACCTTTTTCTTCATCTGGCACTATATTAGAATACTCGCTATATTTACGTTCTAAAACAAAAATTAAATAAAACATATTGGGTTTAGACTATAACCAACAATCTATGAGATGTTCTAAGTCAGTGTTTTTCAAACTTCCTTGGTCATGATCCACATTAAAAAAAAACACATTTTACATTATAGCCCAGTTGGCTGCATTTGTGTGCAATAAATGAAACAAAGGGTTACATGAAATAATACTTACCATTTTGTAATCTGTTCTTACCCTTGTCTTATCTTCTTTACTGACCTTTTTCTATTTTATGTAGTTCACTGGGGAAAAAATCTGGTCTTCTTACTTTTTTCTTACCAATTATATTCTATTTCAATGGGGAAAATGCTGGTGATAAAATTGATTCCGTTAACAATTAATTTTTTTACAACTCACCTAAGGTTATGGAAATATTTTCCACAATATGGAAAGCACTATAATAAATTATATTTGATTCTAATGCTCATTAAAGGAGTGGTCCTGCTAACAGCCTGAAATCAACCCCATTTTCTCTTATCACTATTGAAGCTCTTATGTTTAAGAGTATGACTTAGTAAGGGGTCTATGAACCAGAAATTTAATTAGCCTCCAGAGAGATCTACTCTGGCTAGGACTGAGTTTACCACATTCTTCAGGGCAGAGACTGGGCCGTCTGACAGTCCTCTGTAGCACTCTTGATACTGCCTTATTAGTCCTCTGAACCTGACCCCATCTAGTTCATGCTCTGTCCCCATCTGCTCTCCACCAGTCATACTGTTAACTAAACATTCAGCTGAACAGCAGATGTCCCCTACCTACCTTCCCAGCCTCACTCATCCTTTCCGCATCCTCTCTGCTCTTATCCAGATACCTTACTGTCTTCTCATTACGATTTTATGCCACCCCAGGTTTGTACTTCTGATTATGCCTTCATCCCCTGAAATTCCTCCTTTGCCCATGTCCTTTTCTCTCTGGTGAGCTACCCTTTTACAATCTCCTTCCTACCCACTCCTCCCCTTGCACACCTTTTTTTTCACTAAATTATATGAGTAATTCCTACTAATCCTTCCAGACCTAGCTCTCACATCATGTCTTCAAGAACGTTTTTCTTGACACACCCAGTCTGTGTCTAGAAGACCCCCTACAGTCATGTGGTCCCATTATTCCCTGGGCCTCTCTCTGTAATAGGTCCTACTTCTTTTGCTAGAGTCTGAATGTTTATACTCCACCCACTCCAAATTGAGATGCGGAAACTTAAACCCCAATGCAATTTTATTAAAAGGTAGGGTTTTGGGGAAGTAATTAGATCATAAGGGAGCCTTCATGAATGGGATTAATGTCCTCATATAAGAGGTCCAAGAAAGCTAGTTCATCCTTTCCCATCATGTGAAAACACAGCAAGAAAGTGTCATCTCTGAACTAGGAAACACACCCTCACCAGACACCAAATCTGCTGGCACCTGGATTTTGGACTTTCCATCCTCTAGAACTGTGGCAAGTAAATTTCTATTGTTTACAAGCCAACCAGTTTATGGGATTTTTGTTATAGCAGCCTTACTGGGCTACAATGTCTTTTAATAGGGTAATTTTCTCTTTGCTTTGCTACTTCTCATGCTAGACAGTGAATACTTTTCAGGGCAAGAACCATGTTTGATTTATTTTTATGTTCTTAGCACTTAGCCTAAGAACTTAGCACTTTTTTCCTCCTTCTTTTCTTCTTTATTTCTCTCTTTCCCTCCTACCTTCCTTTCTTCCTTTCCTTCTGGCATATGACATGAAATATCATGTCTTAATTTTTTTTTGAAATATGTTGTCTCAAATTTTTAAGCACACAATACAGGATTGATAATTGCGTGCATCTTGCTATATAGCATATCTCTAGAACTTTTTCATCTTGCATGCCAAAACTAGTAGTTTGTGTAAATAAATGCCCATTTGTTTATCTGTAGCCATGTAATGTACCAACTAGATACTAAGATATGATTAGAGCTTTTCCTTCATACAAGGATTTGTCCTTTTCAGTTTTAGAGTACTTATTATGTTCATTCCTTCCTTTTGAATTGTCTTGCCCTGTTTTATTAAGCTATTTAATTCAACATGTACATTAATATTTACTTTTTCATATTCTCATGGGTCCTTTCCCCCAGACAGTCTGTGTGATCATAACTTCCTTATTGTGTCCCCCAGTGTCTCTCACAGTGACCAGTAGATATGAGGTGCTCAATTAATACCTGGTAATTCCCTCCAAATATTTCAGCAGTTTAAAATAAGATCTTATTTTTGAGTATAAGATGAAGGCGATGAATAGCTTAACTCCCATTTTATGGCTAATGGGTGATCAAATATCTTTCCTTGAAATTCACTACTAACCCTTGGATGAAAAGAATATTGCTTTCAATTAAGTGCACCTACCTTCTTTTTCCTGGTTGTCCTCTGTGATGGGTAAGACACTTGTATTTCCTTTGACTATGTTAATTGCTAAAAGTCAGGAAATAAAGTATTGAATTAATTGAAGAGACTAAACAAACTTTACACAGGAATCACCTCACTGATAGTTTAATAAAGCAGAAATCTCTAAACTGGAAGAGAGTGCAAAGCTGTTGATTATTTTTAATGCTATGATTTTGGAATCCCTGGAAGAGAGTAAAAACCATTCAACGATTCAAAGGTGACAGAATAGAGATCAAAAGATAAATCAAATATATATATATATATACACACACACACACACACACACATTAAACTTTGCTGATAAAAACACACCATGAAATCCAATCATTTTCTTTCACAAAGTTCTCTATAATATACATGGGAAATTTAAGACCAATGACCAGTCAATGGAGTCGATTTTAGAATGACTGTTTGGAACTCTATTCTGTCACCTATAGGAAACCACACAAAGGGTCTCTCACATTTGAGAACTTAAAAGAGTTCCAGTTCTCTGTATCCCTCTGGGCCACACCCTGCTCCTTCCTGCTGCCTTGGCTTACTCAGTTTGGCCCGTTCCTGGTTACCTGGCTATTAGCCAGAGTCTCCTCCAAAGTCCCAACCCCTCCCCCAAGCTCTTTGCCTCTAAATCCTTCTCTGCCTTTCCTCCCACTGCCCAGATTTTGACCTCTGTGGTTTGGAACCATGGGCTCCTCTGTCCCCTGCGGTTTCTTTTTACCAATTACTCCATTCTGAAAGGCATCAATTGTTTTAATTGATGGGAATCTATACCACATTGGTCATTAAATACTTTTAATATTACCCCTGCTGGACTTTGAAATTTAATTTCTGTTTATCATCTCCTTCTTTATCCACTCTAGAAGCCTGTAGGCTATCACTTTATCTGCTTTCTTGCAACTGCCCTCGATTTTCTTGCTTCATCTTCCTCCTTTCCAAATGCTAAGTGAAACAATAAAACTGTACTCATTTTCCATCCTGTATTCAATGCTGACCACCAAAATCACCTTAGCACCTATTTCAGGCACAAATATGAGAACAATATATATAACAAATAATTTGATATTCTAAATAAAATCAACATGGAACAGAATAGTGTTGTTTTTGTTCTAATCACAGGGGGTTGACTATACTGTAATATATGGGAGTTTACTACAAGTCATACTCCTCGTTTCCACTCCTGCATCCAGGTAGCTAGGCATCTTTGTAAGGAATCACACAAGTCTATATTGGAGTCACAGCAAATTTCTGGTCTCTTGACTTTCACTGAGCACTCAGCACTGAAGGAATTCTGTGCTTTCCCATGTTGATTCTCTCCCCTGCCCTTAACAGTTACAGTCATGCATCAATTAATGACCGGACACATTTTGTGAAATGGGTCATTTGGCGATTTCATCACTGTGCAAACATCCTAGAGTGCACTGACCCACATCCTGATGGTGCAGCTTGCTGCACACCTAGTCTGTATGGTACAACCTACAGCTCCCAGGCTGCAAACTGGCACAGTGTGTTTCTGTGCTGAGTGCCGCAGGCAACTGTAGTGTGATGGTGAGCATCTGTGTACCGAAGCATGTTTAAACATAAAAAAGGTATAGCAGAAACACAGAGTAAAAGATAAAAACAATGGTGCATCAGTACAGGGTACTTACTCCCTGTGAAGGGAGAATGCAGGCCTGGAATTTGCTCTGGATGAGTGTGTCTTTTAATTTTTTTTTTTTTTTTTTGCTAAGATAAAGTCTTAAGCTGTCGCCCTGGGTAGTGTGCCATGGCATCATAGCTCACAGCAACCTCCAACTCTTGGGCACAAGCAATCCTTTTGCCTCAGTTTTTAAATTTTTAGTAGATTTGGGGGTCTCACTTTTGCTCAGGCTGGTCTCAAACTCATGAGCTCAACCAATCCACCCACCTCAGCCTCCCAGAGTGCTAGGATTATAGGCCTGAGCCACTATGCCTGGCATGTCATCCTTATGCAGGGGCCAGACTAATCTTCTCTGTATAGTTCCAATTTTAGTATATGTGCTGCCAAAGCGAGCACTTCTTTTTTTTACTTTTTAAAACTTTCTTTTAAAAAACTAAGTCACAAACACCTATATTAGCTTAGGCCTACCCCTGATCAGGATTGTCGAGATGTTGCTGGGTGACAGGAATGTTCATCTCTGTTGTGATCTTAGGGGACCACTGTCACACATGCTACCTGCTGTTGAGCACACGTTGCTGTGTGTGCACAGCTGTATTTCACATCTTCACCTCCTTCTTTACAACCCCATTCTTTCTCCCTAGTCTTTGACCCTCAGGACCTGGTCCTGCTGACTGTTTTGGTTCCGGCTCCCCCATCCCACACCCTTACTTACGTGCATCTGTACCCACCACCTTCTCCACTTCTGTCAAGCCTCAGCAGCAGACACCCTTCAGTTTGAGGCTTGGTCCTGTGCTTGAGTTCTACTGCTGTCTTGAGAGCTTTTTCCTCACTCCTATCTTCACTCTCTCTCTCTCATGGCAGTTAAATATTAATATCCGTCCATCCAGAGGTCTATCTAACCACCTCTTGTCTATGTATTAATAAATCATGTACATGGGACTAAAACCACAAGAGACCATACAGTGCAGAGGTCTTCCTTCCATAGCCACCCAGGTCCTCCTCCAGAAGGTCACTGGGGCTGACAGTTTCTTCAAATTGCTCCTGGTTGCTGACAACTCCATTTCCCCATATCCAGCTCAGATCTCTCCTCCTCAGTGTCCAAAATATGCATCCAGCACCCACCAGACTCTTTCACTTAGATGCCTCTTGAAACTCTGCACCTTCTCCTATATTCCTTACCTTAGCTTACCCTCCCAAACATGTTCATGGTTCAGCACTCCTAGCAAATGACAGTGACAACACTGGCAACCAGCCTGGGGCTCCAGCTGCTCTGGACTCTGTCTCTCAGGGCTGAGGAGGTCAAGAGCTCCATATTTCCAGCCCACTTTTGGCTCACTGTTTGGGATGTTCTACCTCAGGTTAAGGACATCACCATTGTCCAGATGTTAAAAAAGACTGGGGGATTCCCAATTCTCTTGCGCTTTCTCTTATCCATTAGTATCTCTTTCAAATCTAGCTCCTTTCCTACAGCCCATGGCCACTGCTTGGGTAAGGGTCTTATCATCCCTCTACCTGCCACAGAACTGGTCTCAGTGCTTCTTGTCCCCCCATAAACCTCAATTCATTCTTCCCATTACAGAGTCATCATCCTAAAGTTAGAACCTACTCCTTCCTTTCAGTTGCCCCCAAATCCTTCATTGGTCTTACCAAGGCCCCTGCTTGCTTCTCTTCCTGACATTCCACACCTTGAACTCTACTTTCTGAATAAAATGAATGAATGAATTGGCACTTCTTCACAAGTTCTTTCTTACAGCTGCCTGTTGTGTCTTTGCATATGTTGTCCCCTCCACATGCAACAAACCTCCCTCTTACTGCACCCTGCATCCGGGCCTCCATTCTCTCCTGACTCAATTTGGATGTCACCTCCTCCAGAAAGCCCTTCATCATGTCAACATCCTGATGGGCCCCCACCACCATTCATGGCATGTGGCATATTCCTCGGGCCCACAGCACTGAGCACACCAGCTCCACAGCAACACTGTGATGCCTGAGGCAAGGGCCCTGTCTTTCCACTCTGGTCTCATTTCTGCCCTCCCCAGTTCACCAAAGTCATGGTTGACCTACATCATACATCCACCGGGTACTTTCAGACCTCATTTTATGTGATGTCCCAGCAGCTTCCGTCAGTGTGGGCCAGCCCTTGTTCTTGAAACAACTCTGCTTTGGGTCTTCCTCAATGTCAGATTTCAGGGGCTCTCTCCCACCTTCACTTGCTCATGATCCTCTGTCAGCTGCTCCTATTCTACTTAACCCTTCTAGGCTGAGTTCCCCTATAAGGTTCCCCTAAAACTGAGAGTTCATCTCTCACTTTTTCTCTGGATAATTTCCATCATGCTCGTGGCTTCATTTCTATTTATAAGGCAACAACTCCCAGCTTGACAACTATAGTCCTATAGTCCAGATCTTTCTGAGCTCCGGGAAGTATGCTGCTCTCCATGTGATGTTTCCATTTTAGATATCCCACAGGTATTTCAGAATCAAAATGTAAGAAACTAAGTTTATCTTTCCTCTACTCTGGCACCCTGCCTCTTCCTCTCCCACCCAACACCACCACCCCCACACCCCACATGTTCATATTTTCTCTCCTCAAATAATGAAATGATGTTTTAGGTTTTTTAGTGTTTTTTTCACCATTTCTCCTCCTATCATTCAATCCACCCAGGTGTTCAACCAGAAGCAGCCTGAGCCCTCTGGAATTCCCAAGAGGCCACATATCATCAAGTCTTGATAATTCTGCCTCCTAAATATCTGCTGACTTTCTACTGCCTCTAGGTGCAGCTATACCCACCTCTTCCTGAGTCATTGCATAGCCCTCCTGATACCAGTCTTTTTGTAAACAATCTTGCCTTGTTCAAGTCTGTTTTCCAAGTGAATTCCACACCTGATCAGGTTTCTGTCCACCAAAAAGTCTCTATAACTTTCACATCTATCCCTCATGGTTCTATTTCTCATCTCCTATACTTTAATACTCTTTTAATAACAATCCAATAAGACATCACCTCTAAGATATTACCTGATTGGTATGGCCGAAAAATTAGCACATCTCCAAGTGCAACAAGTTTCTCCTGTTAAAAACATTTATAATCAGAAAATTATATAACCACAAGTACTAACTCAGTTATTTTTTAATAAAAAAACACTCTGATTCTTTAGGCAATCAACACATATTCATGACAGGCCACAAATTATATTACCAAATCTTACGTGAATTTTTCAAACTTTTATTGCTTCATTATTATTATTATTATTTTGAGACAGAGCTTCAGGCCATCACCCTAGGTAGAATGCCATGACATCACAGCGCACATCAACCTCCAGCTCCTGGGCTTAAGTGATTCTTTTGCCTCAGCCTTCCAAGTAGCTGGGACTACAGGCACCCGCCACAACACCCAGCTATTTTTTGGTTGTAGTTGTCATTGTTGTTTGGCAGGCCCAGGCTGGATTTGAACCCAACACCTCTGGTATATGTGGCTGGTGCCTTAGCTGCTTAAGCTACAGGTGCCCAGCCTGCTTCATTATTTTTAGGAATAAGATGCAAATTGAGCTCACAGAAAACCAGTGTATGTCTTGGCCTAAAAGAATCAGTTTAAGGTCATTATGCAAGTCAGTTCCCTTGTACCTATTTTTTTTTTTTTTTTTTGGTTTGGTTGTATTCCTTCTTTTAAAAAATTTATTTTTACTATTTAGGATTCATTGAGGATATAAAAAATTAGCTTATACTGATTGCATTTGTTAGATAAAGTCCCTCCCAAGAGATGTGCCATATACCATGACCCCCCTATCCCTCTCCCTCCTCTCTTCTCCCTACTTGCTCATTCCCCTACCCATCCCCCCTCATATCAGTTCATCTATTGCCTTGATTTTAGAATAGAGTACATTGGATTCTTGCTTCTCCATTCTTGTGATGCTTTACAAAGAAGAATGTGTTCCACTTCCATCCAGGTTAATACAAAGGCTGTAAAGTCTCCATCTTTTTAATGGCTGAATAGTATTCCATGGTATGTATATACCACAGCTTGTTAATCTGTTTCTGGGTTGGTGGGCATTTAGGCTGTTTCCACATTTTGGTGATTTTAAATTGAGCTGCAATAAATGGCCTAGTGAAAATGTCCTTATGATAAAAGAATTTTTTTTTCTTCTGGATAGATGCCTAGTAATGGGATTGCAGGATCAAATGGGAGGTCTAGCTTGAGTTTTTGAGGATTCTCCATACTTCCTTCCAAAAAGGTTGTATTAGTTTGCAGTCAAACCAGCAGTGTAAAACTGTTCCCTTCTCTCCATATTCATGTCAGCATCTGCAGCTTTGAGATTTTGTGATAGGGGCCATTCTCACTGGGGTTAGGTGATATCTCAAGGTGGTTTTGATTTTAATTTCTCTGATGATTAAGAATAATGAGAAGTTGTTCATATGTTTGTCAACTTATTCATCTGTCTTCTTTAGATAAGGTTCTATTCATGTCTCTTGCCCAATGTTGTATGTGGTTGCTGGGTTATTTTTTGTTGATTAATTTGAGTTCTCTATAGATCCTAGTTATCAAGCTTTTGTCCAATTCATTAAACACAAGTACCATTTCCCATTCTGTTTACTTTGGTTGTTGTTTCCTTAGCTGTACAGAAGCTTTTCAGTTTAATGAAGTCCCATTTGTTTATTTTTGTTTCTGTTGCAATTGCCACAGGAGTCTTCTTCACAAAATCTTTGCCCAGTCAAGTATCTTCAAGTGTTTTCCTCACAGCTTCTTCAAGAATTTTTATTGTTTCATGCCTTAGATTTAAATCTTTTATCCACTTTGAATCAATTTTTGTTTTTTTTTTTTTTTTTTGAGACAGAGCCCCAAGCTGTCCCCCTGGGTAGAGTGCCGTGGCATTACAGCTCACAGCAACCTCCAACTCCTGGGCTCAACCGAGTCTCCTGCCTCCGCCTCCCAAGTAGCTGGGACCACAGGCGCCCGCCACAACGTCCGGCTATTTTTTGGTTGCAGCTGTCATTGTTGTTTGGCGGGTCCGAGCTGGGGATTTGAACCCGCCACCTTAGGTGTATGTGGCTGGCGCCTTAGCCGGTTGAGCTATAGGCGCCGAGCCTTGAATCAATTTTTGTAAGTGGTGAGAGGTGCAGGTCTAGTTTCCATCTTTTGCATGTAGTTATCCAGTTCTCCCAGCACCATTTATTGAATAGGGATTCTTTTCCCCAGTCTATGTTATTTTTTGATTTATCAAAGATCAGGTAACTGTAAGATGTTAGTTTCATCTCATAGTTTTCTGTTCAGTTCCAAACGTCAATGTCTCTATTTTTGTGCCAATATTAAGCTGTTTTGATCACTATGGCCTTGTAGTATAGCTGAAACTCTGGTAGGGTGATACCCCCAGCTTTGTTTTTATTACTAAGAATTGACTTGCGTATACAGAGTTTCTTCTAATTCCATACAAAATGAAGAATTATTTTTTCCAATTCTTGAAAGTATGATGATGGCATTTTAATGGGTATTGCATTGAATCTATAGATTGCTTTTGGAAGTATAGACATTTTCACAATGTTGATTCTTTCCAGCCATGAGCATGGTATATTCTTCCATTTGTTAATGTCCTCTGTCATTTCTTTCTTAAGGTTTCATAATTTTCTTTCTAGAGGTCCTTCACCTCTTTTGTTAGGTATATTCCTAGGTATTTCATTTTCTTTGCAGCTACTGTGAAGGGAATTCTGTCCTTTATTAGCTTCTCATTTTGGCTGTTACTGGTATATTCAAAGGCTACTGATTTGTGGACATTGATTTTATATCCTGAGACATTACTGCATTTTTTGATGACTTCCAGGAATCTTATGGTTGAGTCTTTGGGGTTCTCTAAGTGTAAGATCATATCATCAGTAAAGAGTGAGAGTTTGACCTCCTCTGCCCCCATTTAGATGCCATTTATTTCCTTCTCTTGCCTGATTGTATGGCTAGAACTTCTAGCACTATGTTGAATAGCAGTAGTGATAGAGGGCAACCTTGTGTGCTCCCAGTTCTGAAGCTTTTAGTTTTACTCCATTCAGTATAATCTTAGCTGTGGGTTTGTGGTAGATGGCTTTGATCAGATTAAGAAATGTGCCACCTATGACTATATTCTTTTTTTTATGCCTATATTCTTAACTGGTCTAATTAGAATACGATGCTGAATTTTATCAAATGCTTTTTCTGCATCTTTGTTTTTTGCTTCTGTTGATATTGTGAATTATGTTTATGGACTTTTGTATGTTAAACCAGCCTTGCATCCCTGGGATTGTGATGAATGATTTTTTTAATGTGTTGTTATACACATTAAATATTTAAATAGTTTAATAGTTGTACTCTATTGGCTAGGATTTTATTGAGAATTTTTACATCTATATTCATTAGTGAAATTGGTCTGAAGTTCTCCTTTTTGGCTGGGTCTTTTCCTGGTTTTGGTATCAGGGTGATGTTTCCTTCAAAGAGTGTGTTGGGGGAAGATTCCTTCCTTCTCAATATTTTGGAATAATTTCTGCAATATGGGTATAAGTTCTTCTTTGAAGGTTTGATAGAATTCTGGTGTGAAGCCATCTGGACCAGCATTTTTTTTTTGTTGGGTTTTATTATTATTATTATTATTGTTTCTTTCATCTCAGTTCTTGAAATCAGTCTGTTCGAGAGATCTATTTTTTTTTTTTTTAAGTCTAGGGAGAGGGTGTGATTTCAGGTATTGATCCATTTCCTCCACATTGTCAAATTTCTGGGCATAGAGTTTCTTGTAGTATTCAGAGATGAGCTCTTGTATCTTTATGGCATCTGTTGTTATTTCCCCTTTATCATTTCTGATTGAGGTTATTAGAGATTCTACATTTCTGTTTCTAGTTAATCTGTCCAAAGGTTTATTGATTTTATTGTTTTGAAAAACCAACTTTTTGTTTCATGAATTTTTCTGAATGATTCTTTTGTTTTCAGTTTCATTAATCTTTGATTTAATTTTGGTTATTTCTTTTCTTCTGCTGGGTTTGAGATTAGATTGTTCTTCTTTCTCTAATTCCATAAGATGGTTCATGAGTTTGTTGATGTGATCATACCCAGGGTATGATATCCATCTGAAAGGAGTGTGTGTCAGATGTTTGTTGATGTGCTCTCTTTCTGGTTTTTAAATGTAGGCATCTAATGGGAGAAATTTTCCTCTTAAGACTGCTTTTGGTGTATCCTGCAGGTTTGGTAACTTGTGTCTTCATTGTTGTTATGTTTGAAGAATTTAAATTATTTCCTCTTTTATCTCTTCTTGAACCCAACCATCATTCAGCATAAGGTTGTTTAATTTCTGACTCTTTATGTGGGGATGAACATTTTTGCTAGAGTTGAGTTCCACCTTTATTGCCTTGTGGTGTGAGAAGTTACAAGGCATAATTTCTATTCTTTAAATCTTGCTGATGTTTAATTTATACCCTAAAATGTGGTTGATTTCGGAATATGTATCATGGGTTGCTGAGAAAAATGTATATTCTTTAGTTTTGGTATGGTGTGTTCTGTATATGTCTATTAATCTCATTTGTTCTAGGGTCACATTTAAATCCTTTGTATTTTTGTTTAGTTTCTGTTTAGAGGATCTGTCCAGTTATGTCAGAGGGATGTTAAAATCCCTGACTATTATGGTGTTATAGGATATCCTACTGCTCAGACCTATAAAGGTCTGCCTCATTATCTTGTAGCATTTAAGTTGGGTGTGTAAATATTTAAAATTGAAATGTCTTCCTGTTGTATTGTTCCTTTGACCAGTATAGAGTGACCAACTTTGTCTTTCTTAACTGTAGTTGCTTTAAATCTATTTGTATCTGAAAATAAGATTGCCACCCTTCTTTTCTTCTGATTTCCATTTGCTTAAAACACTGTTTTCCATCAGTCTTGATCTGTCCTTCAGTGCTATGTGTGCCTCCTGGTGATGGCAAAAGGAATAGCTTGTGCTTTTTTATCATCAGCCAGCCAGTGCCTCTTCAGTGGTGAATCCAGTCTATTGACATTTATTGAGAGAACTGATTAAGTGTGGCTGAGTTCTATTCATCTTATTTTATGGGAGTCCGTTGTGTAGTTTTATCCTTTGTCCCACTGTGGAAGCTGAGTTTTGACCTTTAGCTTCTGGGTGTTTACTTTGCTGGTGGTTCATTGTGAGGGTCAGTGTTAAGAATAGGTCTAAGTATTTCTTGTAGAGCTTGTCTTCTTGGGGTGTGAATTTCCCCAGTGCTCGTATTATCACAAAAGATTTGATTTCTCCATCAATTTTGAAGTTTAGTTTAGCAGGGTACAGAATTCCGAGTAGAAATTGTTTTGTTTAAGAATGTTGAAGGTGGATGACCATGCTCTTCTGGCTTGGAAGGTTTCAACTGAAAAGTTTTCTGTCATCCTAATGACTCTGCCTCTGTGGGTCAGTTGGCACTTACTCCTGGCTGCTTACAGATTTTTTTCTTTCATCTTGACTTTGGGCAAGTTCATTACAATGTGTCTTGGAGAAGCTCTATTTGAGTTGAGATGACCTAGGGTATGATATTCATCTGAAAGGAGTATGTAGGGATCTTTAGTAAAACTTGCGAAGTTATGATAGTCTCCAGTAGGGCTTTTATTCCTTTGGGATAATCTTCTTCCCCTTCAGGAATCCCTATTATCCATATATTTGAATGCTTCATAGAGTCTTGTAGTTCTCTAAGTGCCTATTCTGCTTTCTCTCTCTTCTTTTCCACCTTTATAAACCTGGGTTAACTCAAAAACTTTATCCTCTAGCTCTGAGGTTCTTTCTTCTCCATGGTATAACCTATTTTTGATACTTTCTACTGCATCTTCACATTCCCTGATTGTCTCCTCCATTTCCTTAAGCTCCCCCATATCCTTTCTATATTCTACATATCTCTTGTCTGACTTTTGATTCTGTTTTTCCATTTTCTTGTCCATTCCTTTTATTATCTTTATCATCCACATTTTAAGTTCCCTTTCTGTCAAGTCTATTAATTCTTTATAGGTGGAGTCTTCTGCAGTAGTTGCCTTATGGTCCCTTGAGGGACTTCCTCTGTTTTGGTTTTCTGCTGTTTCCTCTTCATGTGTTCTTTCTTCTTATTCACCTCCTTGTCCTTTTTCCTTCTCACTGTCTTCTTTGCTTCACATTACCTTTTCTCAGAGCTTAGGTCTTGAAGTGGCCTCAGCTTGAGCAAAGCCAAACTCCTCCTCACTGCCAAATAAACAGAAGTCCTTACACTTGATGACATTATGTTTGCTATATGTTGCCAGGACACAAGGTGGCACTGTGGGGGATTTTGGAGACAGAGAGTACAGCTAGCAACCTCTATGATTCTTATACCAAACTTAGTCGCTTTCAGCGATTGCCTGATTGTTTTCTCAGCATTCAGTCCCTGCCAGGTTGGGATCTTAAAGCTAACAAGAATCCTTCAGGGGGAGGTGTCACTGTATCCCCTAACTGCAGTTCCTGTGGGGTGTGGGAGTCCCTCAGCCTGTCCCAAGAGTGGAGATCTGATCCTGGCAGGTGGAATTAAGACAGCTGTGTGTTAGGCTCCTGCTAAGACCTTCTTATGACCTTCCCACAAAGGCAGCCCTCTGGCCACTGAAACCTTCTCGGTATGGCTGCCTCAACAACCACCAAACCTATGGAAAATCCACTCCAACTGGTATTCAAATCTGGTTGCTGTATATTGTTCAAATCTGCCCTCTCTGTCAAGCTTTCAACTCCACAGACAACTTCCCCCAATAACTAAAAATTCCAGAAAAGCTTCCTCCCATCCTGGACCTCTATATGGGTCAGCTGAGCCCAGCTGGTTGCAATGACTTGCCTAATTTGTCAGATTTCTACTGCTCTGGATCATGCACTGTATCCAGCTCATCACCTCCTTGCTGTGCTCCCTGAGCTCTGACTCTGGGTAAGATCCCCACACCCAGGTATGGCTGGGTTCTCTCTTTATCCCCTAGGAAAGCTCAGCTGGATAATCCTTCTGGTCTTCCATCTTGCTTTGCCCCTTGGTTGTGTTCTTGATTTTCTTCTCCTCAGCAGTTTATGGAAAGAGCATTTTTCATCAATAATCATATAGGCTCCTCCTTGCGGGATGTCAGCATGTAGGACTTGGTGATTTTAAAATACAACAGAAGCTAGGCTGTTGACTTTTAACTGCACTGTTCCTAATGTTTGCAGTGATATTGAACTCTTGTTCTGCTATCGTAGACAAAAACTGTCTTTTCAATCTCGTGAGTTCCAAATGCTGGGAAAAGAGTCCCGAACACCAAAAAAAGTTAAAATTGTGATCCCTTGTATTTATTCTGACATTACCTGAATGAGATCACTTGTCATTCTGGCCATTTTTTTTTCACTTATTTCAATATCTTCAAGGTCTGTGAGTACCTCCCAAGTTCCATTCTCAAATTTCACAGGCATAGAAAAGACAAGCCCTTCAGGAATACCAAACTGGCCTGCAATGAGCAAACACACAGCAAAGCAAAAGAACTGAGAAAAATAAATCCTTCCAGTTAAGTTAGGCATTTTCCAAAGGACAGACATAACACATGATTTAAAAAAATAAAAATAAAGATGGAACTAAAATTTCTGGGAAATCCTCTCCAGAGAAGACAGAAAGGCACACTCCAGGAGTGTTGATTGAGAACCTATCTGCATTCTGACAATTCTCCTTTCTGTATCTCTCTCACATCCAGAGGCTAATACTGTCTTTCTGTACTTCTCATCTGTACTTCTTTTGTCTGCTTCCATAGCTTTCCCTCAACCCCTGTGAACCCATCTACCTAAGGCATTATTCCAGTCTGGCCTTCCACTCTCCCCCCTGCTCTGGCAGTCACATAGCCAGGGTGTGAAAGGCTGGGAAGGGAAAGTGAGGAGGGATAGGAATGTACAGGCAAACTCTCATCCATTGTCTGCTTATGAGGCTAGCTCTTCACAGATAAGACAAATACAGAATAACTAGAGGACCTGAAAAATCTCTCTGAGGAAAGTCTTTTATATCTTGGTTTCTTGACTGTCCTCAATTTTTTGCTCTAATGACATTTTTGGTGTCTAGAATAGCAGGAATAATTTTCTTTTTCTTTTTTTTTGAGACAGAGTCTCAAGCTGTCCCCTGGCATCACAGCTCACAGCAACCTCTAACTCCTGGGCTCAAGTGAGTCTCCTGCCTTAGCCTCCCAAGTAGCTGGGACCACAGGTGCCCTCCACAATGCCCAGCTATTTATTTTTTTTGGTTGCAGCCATCATTGTTCTTTGGCAGGCCTGGGTTGGATTTGAACCCACTACCTTAGGTGTATGTGGCTGGCACCTTAGCCACTTGAGCCATAGGCACCAAGCCAGGAATAATTTTCTTATGTGACTGAGATACCAAAAAAGGGGAGCAATTTCATTTGTATGGTGCTTAGTAATAAATATTGTCAATCTGTGTTTTTAGAGCACATCCAAATAGGAAACTGGAGCTTCCAGGAAATAACCAAATTTCCTGTCCTGTTCACTGGCCCCCCTACCCCAGCAGTGCACCATTTATTTTGCAATGAAATTCCTACTGAGTTTAACTGAACTTTGTAGGTTTCCCTAAAAAGGTAACATACTACTTTGAATTCATGCTGTGATGATGACTGTGCACCTTAACTTTAATTGAACAAGATACTATATAAAATTCTGCACCCATGAAGGTGCAGAAAGATGAGCCAGACAAAGAAAGCCCTGACCCTTAGGGTGCCCACACTGTCATGAAGGAGATATTCAACTAACCACACTATCAGGAAAAGGCAGATGATGATGTGCTCTCTGATAGAGGAACAAAATGCTCTGTGGGTATAGAGACAGAGATTAATTCTGACTTGGGTGGTGAAGAGATTTCTTTAACCTGTATGTTGTCACTGGAACTATGGGAAGGTGGTGGTTCTACAGGTGACATAAAGTATACAAGAGGTAGGTCCAATTGGGAAGGAAGACACTGAGTTCAGTTTGGTGTTCGTAGGATGGAAGGGACTTAAAGATATCCAGGTGGCAATGTTTCACAGGTTAGAGCTCAGCAAAGAGGCTGGGGCAAGGAGGTTTGGGAGTGAATAAGCTTCTTAAAAGAGATATAAATCACAAAGGAAAGGAATCCTTTAGGTAGAACTGACTAAGGGTAGAACATTATGTATTCTCTTTCATGTTTTATAAAAATGGTAGAAGCCTTCTGAATAGTTTTTAGTAGATTAAAATATCTACTAAAAATTTATATCCAGGGTGGTGCCTGTGGCCTATGAGTAGGATGCCTGTGGCCTAGTGAGTAGGTTCAAACCCAGCCCCGGCCAAACTGCAACAAAAAATAACCAGGTGCCTGTAGTTCCAGCTACTTGGGAGACTGAGGCGAGAGAATAACCTAAGCCCAAGAGCTGGAGGTTGCTGTGAGCAGTGACGCCACAGCACTCTACCAAAGGCAACAAAGTGAGACTCTGTGTTCATTATTTGTGGATGGACAGTAACCTCTCCACACCCCTAGGTCTGGCTGGTACTGCAAGATCTGGGTCCTGATGTGCCCCTTGTGTCCTGCCTTTGTGTTTTTGCCCCTGAGGCTCTCTGTGCTGGGTATTCTTCCCACAATTGTCTTCTAAGCAATATTCCTCAGACTTCAGGGTTTCCTGGATTGTCACTTTCTTTATAAAGCCTGTACTGATTCTTACTACTCTCTGCTGAGTATACTGAAGTATTATTTTTTTAGACAGAGTCTCATTCTGTTGCCCTGGAGTCATAGCTCACAGCAACCTCAAACTCTTGGGCTCAAGTGATCCTCTTGTCTCAGCCTCCCGAGTAGCTAGGACTATAGGCACTTGCTACAACACCTGGCTAGTTTTAGTAGAGACAGAGTCTCGCTCTTGCTCTGGCTGGTCTCAAACTCCTCAGTTCAGGTGATTCATCTGCCTCAGTCTCCCAGAGCACTAGGATTATAGGCATAAGCCACCTTGCCCACCCCTAGTGAGGAAAACTTAATATTATTTTGTTTATGTATCTGGCTCTCTTTTACTGTAGGTTTCCTGAAGGCAGAGGCGAGGTTTAATTCCTAAGTGTGTTTCCATGCTTTCAATGCATTCATGCAAAATACTGTTAAATTTCTAAATGAGTAACTGAATGAATGAATGAATGATTATGACATTACAAAAGTCTAGATAGCTCACAGACCATGTTAAGAGCCAGATGTGGAGGGACACAAACTTGGGGGCACATGGTGTACATGGAGGTTTTTAAATATTACAAGATATGAAAAATTCAGATTTACCTTCACTCAACACTCCAGCAGACACAATCTCCCCAGGGGGTGAGCCATAGTACCAGTATTTCAATGTAGTGGCTATACTGTGTGCAGCCAGAATGCCTCCAAATTGTTTTCCTGTGGCAGTCCAGTTGTTAAGAACTGCCACAGATTCTTTGTTTACCCACTCACTGCAAGGAGAGAAAGAAACAATTTTATAATGAAGAGAGGTGTAGAAATGAAAAAGGAGGTTTCTGGGTCAATGAAACTAAGTATAAGGAATCATATCCTCAAACAAAACAGGCCAATAACTTCTTGTGCCCTTTCTTCACATGTTTTCAATCTCTAAAAAAAGTCAATGTAAAAATAATGAAATGTAGCCAGAGGAATCCCAAAATATCAAATTAAAAACATGATAATATGTATGTATGTCTATGGAACACAGGAAAGTGATCAAAAGTGCAGGAGCAATTACTTCCACTACAAAGAACTTATACTATGTAGATGCAATCTTGGAACCAGTGGCATCCTTCATTTTAAATAAAATAGTTTCATTAAACATTGAATTATAGGTAGGGAATCCCTTATCCGAAACACTTGGGACCAGAAGTGTTTGAGACATTTTTGGATTTTGGAATATTTTCATATATGATGAGATATCTTGGGGATGGAACTCAGGCCTAAGCACAAAACTCACTTGTGTTTCATAGACAAGGTCGGATAATTAAGTTTGCAAACTCATCCTAGAAAAAGTGCTACATACCTCATTGCCACTACTACAGTCATCTTTGAAGTAGTCCCCTTGGGAATGTATGCACCGACGCAGTACCTACTCAGCCTTTTAAAGCAATCTGGGGACTCTTTTTCTGGAGTAGCCATCAGAGTTGTCATCATATGAGGTCTGCCAATTAAGTTTATGAACTCATCCTAGAAAAAGGGCTACATTCCTCATCACTGAATATCACTATGCTCACCTTTGAAGTACTCCCCTTGGTCATTTGGTGACCATAGTGATATTCAGCAAGGAGGTATGTAGCACTTTACATAGGATGAGTTTGCAGACTTAACTGTAAGACGTTATATACCCTATATACATGTCCTGAAGGTAATTTTATACAATATTTTTAAAGGATTTTGTGCATAAAACAACGTTTGTATGAACTGATCCATTAGAAAGCAAAAGTGTCAGGTATGGAATTTTCCATCCGTGGCATCATGTTGGCCCTAAAAATGGTTTGGCTTTGAGAGTAGTTTGGATTTTTGGATGAGGGATGCTTAACCTGTATTCACACTAAGAACCGGAGAAATAAACATGGTTTAATGTTCTGAAATCTAAACCCAGGAACTAGTTCACTGGATTAGAGCAGGTACACAGCTCCACACGGCATGTAGGGGGATCATGCTTCAGGGAGGTGAACCTGGGACACATCATTTCCAGGCATGGATAAAGTTCCCGTGTTCTGAGAAAGAAAAAGAAAAGTGAGGGCCACTGAAAAGGAAGTGCTGCAACTGGGAAAGTGCTGGGAAGTTTGGGAAAAGGCTTCAGAGAGGCTCCCGCTGGATTCTCCTCTGCCTCACTGTGATGCGAGTGTTTCCTGCAGCAGGCATAGCTCTGAGTGCTTTACCCGGATTAACCCATTCCATCTTCCCAGCAACCATAGAGTAAGCCCCTTACTCTGTTATCATTTCCACTTTGCAGATGAAAAAAACCTGAAGCATACAGAGGCTAACATCTTTAAAGTCACATAGCTGTAAGTGGTGAGGTGAGCGTCCCAACCCAGGGATTCTGCCCCCCTGGGACTGAGCACCCAGCACGGCCTGGGCATGCTCACCATCTTATTTCCTTTTCTGAGAAAATGTTTCAACTCATTTCAACTTGGATACATAGCTCTGTCTTTATGTTAAATAAGACTCTCTTTACATATACTTGCTTTAGCAATAACCTTTGGAATATTTGAACTACCAGATAATCATAAATATAGAAATTCATAATTTCAAAATCAAATAAATTGGGAGTGGGAACTAATTAGTTGATATTCTGTGGAATTTTTAGTTTCTTCAATAGAGAGCAAGAACAAATATGAGTGTGAACAATGTGAGTTATTTTTGTTCAAACAAAAGATGATTTAAAAGATTACAAGCATCATACATTTATTTAACATTGTTATTATACTTCACTTCAAATTATACTGTACCTGTCAAAAATCAAGTCTAAGACAGGGCGAGAATATTGACAAGGTCCCCAAATGGCACTCTCATATCTGTAAACCTTTGTTTTTCTCAGATCAATGTAGTTATTTCCACTGATATTACCCCAAACTATCACATCTTTAATGTCTGTAAAGAATAGAAATAAAAAATAATCTCACTTTGGAAAAAAAATGATAAGAAGAAGTTAACTGGTGACTCCATACTGAACCTCATAGTCAAAGCATTCTATAATAGACATACTCTCATTTGACAACATGAATGTTACTTTCTTTGCATTGTTATTATTATTATTGCTTAATGTTTCAATGCGGCAGTTGTCTGATTTCTTTTCTGAATGTATTTATCTTCGTTTGTTCTTTACGAGGTTTTTGTTATTGATAATAATAATAATCTTAATAACGTACATTAACATAAAAAATGACCTGAAGCCTATTTTTTGTCATGTGTTTGGTAGTTTTAGGCCTTTATAAAGTGAATGTATGTTTACATTTCTTAAAACTGCACAGGACATGTGGACCACCTCCCTGACCATCGGGGTTTGGTGATTGCTAACAATGCTCTATGAATGATATGGCTATATGATTAAATTCAAGGAAAATTCCCTTGAAAGAAATTGCCACTGAAAAATATATCACCGGTGTTTGTTGTAACTTTATTTATTTTGCTTGAGAGAGAGAACTTTTAATCTACTTTGATTTTGACATGGAACCCATGATTCTAGACTGGAATAGAAATTAGGGCCAATCACTTAACTCTCTAGGTTGAGTTTTATCTCCTGCAAAATGAAGATGTTGGAAGAAGAGGATCCTGAGTTAAGGATTAAGAATTGTACCCTACCTCGAGGCACTTTGGGGTATGAGGTTTAGCAAAAAACAAACACGTAGAAATCCTTACAACATTCTGGGGGTGGTGGGGAGTGAATAAGGAAACAAATACTATACAAAGTGATTCGTGCTAAGAGGAAAAATAGAGGACAGGGCTTAGAGAGAATTAGGGATTGGTGTTCATTATGATTCTAAAATTGTGGATTTTCTAGGACTCTGGTATGAAGAATGCAAATAAGTTATTTTACTTATTTACTTATTAACTTATTTATTTGTTTAAAAATTTAATTTCCTTGTAAGGCCATACCACTTTCTATTGGGAAGATTAAGTTCTTTCCTATCTCTATGTGATAAGATTGCTTTGTCTTTAAATAACAGAACATCCTATTGACTTAGCTTCATTACAAGGACTTTTCTCAGACAACAAATCTAGGTAGGCAGAGGCATGTGCTGGTTCAGCAGCTCAAGGATGTGACGCCTGTGGCCCTCCCCTCATGGTTCTAAGATGGCTGCAGCAGCTCCAAATATCATACTCTCACACGGTTGTGTTCAAAGTCAGGCAACAGGGAAAGGAATGGGGCAGAGGCTTCCTCTTTTTTGCCTTTTTTCTTCTCAAAAGGTGAAATATTCTTCCCAGGCCAGGGAACCCCAAGTGAACTGCATCACTCAGGCACTCCTGCCTACAAAAGAGACTGGGAAAATGAGTGAACGTTTGAACTCCTGTAAGTAGAAGACAGGCTAGCGGAGAAGGGAGTGGGGAAAAGATTTTGAGTAGTCGCTGCCTACCGTCATCCCCTGAGATTCTTTCCCTCATCAAAATGACTCATGAGGTAGGAATCAGAACAGCTAGTTCCCCCTCCACCACTCAACTCTTAGAAGGGCTAATGATGTGCTCTTGGCTTGCACGTTGTAGGAGGGAAGAGGATGGTAGTCAGGATTTGGAGCTACTGGGATGCCACATGGGGAAAAGAATTCCCCAGTTCCAGGAAAGCATAGGCTTTCCTTCAGGCTTCCTTCTCAGTCTATAGAAATCTTTATTCTTACTGGGTCTCATTTTTCTTAACTGCTTTAAAGCCCTTAATAGCTCTGAATACCCGAAATTATACTATTGAAAATTATATTGGACATTTGCTGTTTTTATTCCCGGTTAGCTTTAATCCCTCCTTCTTTTTTTCTTTAACATCATCCTGTTTTTTCTTTAAATAACTACTTTCCCAATTGCAGTCTCTATGTTTGGGGTGGGGCTGTCCTCACCAATGAGCATGAGACCCAGATTTCCACCCTCCAGGCTTGCACTTACTGATTCAGAGACAGGCCTGTGCTCCAAGCCTGGCTGATGAGTCTGTGCAAGCACATACATCTGGGGGTGCCAGGGGCAACTTTGCCACTTCTTAGAGCCTGCCTAAGAAGGAAATCAACACTGAGGAGAGCAGAGGGCCAGGCCAAGAGAGAGCAGGGGCGAGTCCTCCCATCCTCATTTGAGCCCTAGTATCCAGCTCTGCCTGACATAAGAACCACCTCCTGTACTTTTCAGTACAGAAAAGACTGCTCTGTTTGACATTAGTTGAGTTGACTGTCTATCACTTGGAACAGCAGTCCTGGCCGACCCAACACACATGGTCTGAGAAACAGGTTTATATGTGAATCACCCATAGGCGATAATCTTGAACCTTGCTTTTCTGAAAAGGTTTACTATCCTGTTGACATCTGGAATGATTCCCCAATGATTTTTGTGGTAGTTTTTCTCTTTCACACCATTTTTTCATCTCTGTTCTTATTGTTGCTGGGTTTCTCCTTGCTGCTCCATGACAGTTTTACTTAGACTACTGACCCTTTAATGTCTCTCTTTCCTTTCCCCAACTTTTCTCTTCACATGATTGTTGGCTTTGAGTTGAGTGCAGCCTAGACTTTTGGCACTTGCAGAACCCCAAGAGAGCAGCTTTCTGGTTAATGGCTCCTGGACCCCAGACCTACCCACACACAAACCTTGCTTTAAATTCTGTATCACTGTCTCTTTCTGCAGTGATACACTTGTCATCAGTGTATTATAGACCTTTCGTGACAAGTCAGTGTCTACCCATGTAAAGTTCATGACAGAGATGAAATAGTTAGAACATGTTTTTATTTCCTATCAAATAATTTCAGCATCAATCTGATTGAGTTCTGTACTGACCCTGAGGGTAAGACACTAAAGCTAAGTATGCAAGAATGAGAGAAGTTATGTTTTCTTTGGCTTCAAAGCCAAAATCAACAACAACAACAACAACATAACATCTCTGGCTATAACAGTTCACAGAAGTCTCTGATGTGGAGCATTCTAGGCTCACAGGCAAAGTCTAGACAGCAAAGTCTTCCCAGTTTTACTGGGAAACTATCTTGCACCTCCTCCCATTCTCAATGGGCACTGTTGCACCTGCTCCATCTAAGGGCACAGATAGCCACAAGTATGTAAAATGTGATCTTCCTTTTTAAACACAACACTCCATTTCTCTGATCCAGTCTCATCTTCATACAATTCTGATGTCTGCCAGTTCAAAGATTAATAGGGGCAGAAACTGATCAGATACCGTAATCTTATTGATAAGTTTAACATCCTTGCATCAGCTTATTGAATCTTCATATCAATGTTAGAAGACAGGTGCTGTTAATGTCTCCATTTTACAGATGTGGCAACTGAGGCACAGTAAAGCAAATGATTGCTGAAGGTCACACAGATTGACCAAGTAGGGCAGAGCCACTTGGACATAGTCCTGATCTTTTTTTTAAACAACCGACCAATCAATGGTAAGAGTCCATTAACTGATCAACTTAATGGACTCTTATCATGGAAACAAAAGGAATGTTAGGTGTTAAATTATTACTTGAATAATATAGATCTTGTTATGCTAAATATTTGTTTATTAATTTTTATCATGTTGGAAAAAGTCAGTCATAAAAGCTGGTTTAAAAAAATGTCAACAGTAGTGAAATCAAACTGGCAGTTCTTTGTATCTGCTCTGTACTTCTATGCCCCATACTCAGAATGACCCTAGAGGGTACAGAGTTCTTCCCAGCTGCTTGGAAATCAAAACCAAAACACAAACAGAAAGAGGAGCTGACTCACATGAAGGAGTTGTTCTCATTTTTCTGGCCAGCAAGGCTTTGGCCTGACCTTCCACCCCCAGCGCCACGGTGATAATATTGTGTGCGAGGTTTGGGGCGTATTTCACGAGCAAAGCCGTTTTCAGATTCACAAAGCTTTTTCCTCCCACGATAACTCTCACGGAGTCATGAGCGTTTTTCTCCAGCATGTAGCCGAATTGCTGGCACAGGGGAACCTTGCTCCGGAGACATTCCTCCAAAGAGTACACATCCCGGTCGGTGCAGTCGTCCAGCACGATGACCACGTGGGCCTCGTGGAAGGCCTCCTCCACCTTCGTGCAGAGGGAGATACTGCGCAGGACCGGCGACGCCAGGTCCTGGGCCTCCATCACCAGGCATCTGAGACTGTTTTCTGTCCGCGGATTGTCCAACAGAGTGATGCTGATTGCCGTGTCCATCCCGAACACTTCCCCGCTGGTCAATATGGGAAGTAGGTTGTAGCAGGCGGGAGCAGACGCACTGATGAAAATGGAAAGCTGGGTTATGAAAGGTTCAGTCCTTTGTATCTTGCAAGGCTTTATTCTTAATAGATATGGCCATATGTATTCTATAGATATATCTTAATAGATATGGCCATATCTAAATCGCCCATAACAGGGCGATTTAACACAGAGGCACTGACATGTTTAAGGCTAGAAATCAAAAGTATAACAAAAAATTCTCATTACTAACCCTTTACTCTGATGGTCTGAGACCCATCCTAAGGTAGGAAATGTACCTGTTTATAGGTTTTTTAAATGAAATAGAATTTCCAATATGCATAAAGCACAATTTCAAAGAACTATACCATAAATTAACTCGTTTACATCTCGTAAGTTTTAGGTAACTATACATCTCTTTCAAAAAAATTTTTAGATCCTTATCTACAAATTAGTGGCATTTTCTTTTTTGGGGGAGAAGGACTAATTTTTCCAAATTTTTCCAAAGAAAAATCCTTGGGAAGATGGCTGTGCTCCACATAGGGGCGGTACTGTGCACCTGGAACCCCAATTCAGCCAGTGTCTGGGGCCTTTCCAGCTGCCACTGTCAACTGTGAGCCGATGTAAGCAGAACTGACATGACCACCCCCTGCAGGAAGTTCAGAAATGCATCCGGGCATAACATGTGGGGTACAAGGGGGATTTCTTACCCCCTTCTTACTAATTTTCTTACCATTTTAACCCTTTGAAAAATATCTAAAGATGTATTATTTATTCAATCGGAGGGATACAGTGAAGGATGTTTATTCTCTCTCTCTTAATTCATAAGAAGTAGTTTTTAAATGGGTGTCTACATCAGGACACATATATGTGTAGTGAGGACAGTGCGAGAGATAGACTGAGGGGTGGAGAAAGGAGAGGAGGACAGAGAGAGAGCGGGAGAGAGCACGGAAGCGAGAGAGAGAGAGAGAGAGAGAGAGAGAGAGAGAGAGAGAATGACAACAAAGACTTCATGGGCCCAGACTGGGAGCAGAGAGGAGTGAAGAGCAGCAAACAAAAGAAGGAGGAAGTAAAAAGGAGCAAGGTGAGGGAAATGGGGGCTACAGGAAGGGGATGGATGCGCAGCACAGAAGCCCTAACAAGTGGGAAAGAGCAAGAGGTTATGCAAAGCAGCCATGCTATAAAGTTGCTTTTAGATTAAGCGTGGCTTTTTTTGGCCGGGGCTGGGTTTGAACCCGCCACCTCCAGCATATGGGGCTGGTGCCCTACCCTTTTGAGCCACATGTGTGTTTTTAAAACCTAAAGCTCCTTCACTATTTATATTGAAAGAGATACACACACACACCCCTATACATCTAAGTATATATACACACAAATCTCCAACCTGCCATTCAGGTACTCTCCCATCAAGGAATTAATGCTGTCTCACTGTCCTGGCTAAACATACAAAGCCAATCTCATGAATCCTGGGGTTTGACTATCCCACCTGGTGATCCAGACGTTCAGGGGGCTGATGAGACCTTTCAGGGTATTTTCCTCCTGCTCTTTTTCTATATGTGCCCCCAGGTTCTCCTGAGCAATTACCATCATCATCTCAGTCGTCATGCTAGAGGTGATACCGTAGTAAAGCTAAATATTACAAGAGAGGAAGTCAACATCAGAGAATAGCCAACTAGCTGACAGTAGCGGTCATGGAAAGTTTTTGTTTAAAGTCAAAAATAGAATAAAAAGAGATGAGAGACTATCTCAGAAACCAAGACATTTGAAAAATAAAATAATGTAAGAAAACAATCGTTGTTTGAACAGATAAATCACATTAGTCTCTATACCTGGGCATGCTCTAGGAACTCATTATATCCTCCCAGAAGCAAACCCTTTCCTCCACGATCCAACAGCTCTCTCCAGATGATGGGAGAATTCTTGTGACTCCACTTATTCTTTGTACACACATTTTTCAGCCACTCCTGTTGAAAGATAACCCAGATTAAGTCATATATTAAATCTGCCTGAGGATTAAATTTAATACTTTAGAAGCCAAATGCCAAAGTGGTAGGTTGTTTTCAATGCTACCATGTATACATGGTACAGTTTAGTCACCCTTATGTGGTAAACATAAATATAAAAAGTTGTGATGGGTTAGTAACCCATGAATCAAATTAGAAAGAAGATTCTTCAAATTCATTGATGAAGTCAAGGTATTGAAAGTTGTTCTTCTTGCTGAGGACAACTGGAATGCCAGTATTCAGCTTAAAGAGAGGCCAGGTGCTCTGGTTCAACTGACTTAAAACAAAATTTCAACTGATTTTGCCCTATTTGTGTTATATATAAGATATTACAGCCTTAGGGTCATAAAAATTTGACACTGCTTTTCAAATCTGTGGGTGTAGACTGAATTAATGAAATAAAAGTTATCTGGGGATTTCTGAGAATATTTATAGAAAAAAAGTTCAAATTATCATTATCTGGTTTGTGTAGACCAGGGCTTCCAATGACAAGATTTGAGCAGAAAGTACATGCTATCATGCCATTGGAGGCGTGTATAGTGAGGCTACCTCACAAATAAAATATTAGAAACTAATGTCCCTTGCTGATCTTGAAGATTTCCCTGTCTTTATCCCCCCTAAACACAAACAGTGCTGCAGTGAGGGTTCCACTATGCTCCTCTCGTCACAGCACAACCTGGCCACTGAAGTGCTGGGCCTATGAGGAACTTCCCCAAAGGACTCTTAACACTGTGCAGACACGTTGGTGTCCTGGCAAGAGCTGAGGGGACATAGATAGGATCGGCCCCCAGAGTGTTGAATCAAGAGTGGAACGTAAAGTTAGACAAGGGAAGGCTTACCAGTATGAACCACTCACTCTTCTGCAATTCAAGATAGTGTACCCTGGCAGACGCCTCAGAAGCAAGTGACAACATGTTGCTAGACTGGCTCTTAGAAACTTGGAAAAAGTGATTAAATAAAATTAAATGAAAATAAAATGAAATACAGAACTGCCATGGCAGACAATATAAGAAGGGATCAAAGGCTCATGGATATAGTACAGGGGAGGCTGGAGAGCCTACTCGTCAGCCAGGTTCTGTAGAAGGGCCTAGAGCAGCAGTTCTCAACCTGTGGGTCATGACTCACAGCAACTGTATTAAAGGAAGGTTGAGAACTACTGGCCTACAGGATACTACATTCACCAAAGTGACAAGGAATGAATGGGTGACAAGGGTCCCAGTGTGGCCATCCATTCTAGGCCAAGGCTATTAAAGGACATGCTGTTATATACCTGGAATCCCTGACAACTGGGATGAGAAAATCCTGAAATAATAGAGGCCAGGGGACAGTGACCATCAGAGAACATCTAAACCCCAGCAGAGATCACTTAGTTGAAGGCTGGACTGGCAGAGTGAGGGGAATGTGTAGTAGCAGAGAAGAGAGGTGATGAGTGTCAGTGTGCAGCGGAGACTGTAGTTTTTTTGACTATCCTTCCTCCTGTAAAGTTTCCCCAGGAAAAGAGGCCAACCAGACTCCTGGAGGAGTGGTTACCAGATGGTGTGAACCTAATACAGGGCACATGTGGATCCAAAAGGCACAGAGGGTGAACTGTCGCAAATGCTGTCGTGTACAGCCCAGATTCCCCCCTTCACAGCGAAGCACCCTCAGCCACCAGGTGTAAGGCTGCTGATGACTCAGGGTTGACTCGATTCTCTCTCCAGGAATTGGCCTCAGCCAAAGAGAATTGCTTTGCTTAAGGTTAAGTCTGTTCCCCAGGGTCAGCCTGCAACCCATGACTGGTTGAGGTGAGAGTACAGAAGCTCAGCTACCTTGCCTCGATTTGGGATATCCCTGAAAAGCCACCCAACTGGAGAGTTCCCTGCATGAGGGGCTAAGCCCTCTGCTGCAGCCCCTGTGCCTGACCCTGCTGTCCTCATTCTTTCTTGGGATTTCTCCTCAAGAGTGCATCCCAGTAAAGCCTCTTTACCAAAGTCTCCATCTCGAAGCCTGTTTCCGGACATATGCAGTCCCAAAGAAGGGTATTTTTAATAAACAGGTCCCTCAGTTCATTGTAAAGCAATATGAAGGAAATGAAAAGTCGGCAAGTGCAGTACAAGCCACCTAGATTGTTGAAGGGGACAGTCAAATCTATTCTACTTATTGGCTAGGGTCTCATTAGTTCTACTAGGCACTAGAAAAAAATATAAACAAGGGTTTGAGACTGATAAGTCCAGACTCATTTTAATCAACTTCAAATATCAGAAGTACATGAACATTCATTACTAGATGGTGATTTACTATTTAGCTGATATACTAGCTAAAATTGAATCAAATTAAAACACGTTTTTATTCATATGTGAGTTTAATAAACTATAAAGGCTTCTTACCTCCCAAACCTCAGGATGTTGTGTAATTTTATGTATCTTAAAATCAGGAAGATTCTTTTGTAAATAGTCAGCCAGAAGTTCTGCTTTAGCATAATATGGACAATCTGCTTTACCTGAAAGAGTTCAAATAAGCAACGTTTTCGTCCATTATACAGAAATTATGTAGTTTAGGTATTTTCCATGTAATTATGGAATTAATCATAGTTATGATATGGTTTTATAATATGAAGTTTAGGGTAAACTGTCATGATATAAACTTATTTTTATTATATTGATAAAAGTGAAATAGATTTCATAGATCAGAATGTCAAAAAATGTGGAAAGGGAAAACAAATGCTACTGAATATACTCTTTTCCAGTGCCATGTTAGACCTCATTTCGGGAGGCTGCTGACTACTATTAATGAACTACTCACTAGTAGCCAGTAGATGGCAAAGTGTGAAGCAAGGAATGGTGGTAACATCACTTATGGATTTGATATGTGTGGAAGGGAGTTGTGGGGAGGGAGAGAGAAGGGTCTGGGATAATGTCTCTGGGTTGGGTAGATAATTCTCACCTCATTGGAGAGAAATCGTGGATGAGAAGTTCAATTTTAGACAAGTGCAGTTGTAGGTGACAGTAATATATCTAAGTGGACATGACCAGCAGGCAGCCGGATATAAGATTCGGAGGGGAAGGTACCATGGAAGGGTTTCAGATACCTGTTTTGCAGCCATCAACACCCAGGAAGTTAAAGCCAACATAGTGGATAGGACTGGGTGTCTGATAGACTAGGAGACAAATGGGCCAAGGGCAGAGTGTCTCTGTGGCATTCTCCCTAAGTAACTCTCAGTCACCAGCTTCTTAACCTCATGGGCAACTCTAAGCCAAAACTCCCTTTTGGCCTCTCCCATGTATAAGCTTCCCTTCCTAGTTTAAATCCATAGTTCATCACTTCAAACCATTCTATGACTCTCATCTTGAATTACCTTGCCCCACTATTATTATGGAAATCAGAGTGGTAAAAGCCCTTCACCCCGGATGAACCCATTACCTTCTTTTTTAGTGTCTAGGTCCTATCTGCTAGGACCCCCCTGGAGAAACATGGTAGAGCCAAACAGAGGGGTGTCATTATAAATTTATGGTCACCGGCCTTAATTGTCCCTCAACTCTGTGTGGAGATCCTGTTTCCTTTATCAGCACTCTTTTATGTTCTCCACAATGACTATTCCAAACTTTGGCCTCTTCCTCTGAGTCTTCCCCCTCCCCAACATTTCCTTGTACTATCAGAAGACAATAGACAACCTTGCTTTCTATCTTATAAAAACTAAACCAAACCAAGCAGAAAGACATCGGTTGGGAAAATCCTCAACCTCCTGTTCTCATGCTACATGCCCATCTGCATTTGGAGTCATCCTTTTCCTTCTTTCTCCTCTTTGTTGGAAGAGAAATCCTATCTTTTCTCTAGGTCTAAGCCCACCGCTTATGCTCTGAATTCCACCCTCTTTTGCCTTCTCAATAACCTTGCTCAAGGAATCAGCCCCTCTTTCTGAAATCTTGTCTTGTTTCTAATGACACCTTTCCACCATCATGTTTAAATATGCTCATGTTTCTCCTGTCCTTAAAGACAAAAGCCCATGACTCCTCTAGCTGTTGCCTTTCATGTGCCCTTTTCGGTCAAAACTTCTTCAGAGAGTTCACTGCACTTGACACCCTTAGTTCTTCATTTCCATTTATTTTCTACCTACTGCAATTTAGCTTATCCCATAATTCTTTAGGTCTCTAAAGACCTCCATGACACTAAATCCAATGAATCCTTTTTGATCCTTTTCTTGTTGACCCTTGGCAGCATTTGCCACTGCTGCCCTTCTACCCTTTTGAAAAACCCATCGTGATGCAGCATTCTGTAGGTTTTCCTACTCTCTGGCCACTCCTTTCTAGACTTTGTAGGTTTCTATTCTTTATCAACCCATTAAAAGGAAGACTGAGAGGCATCTTCTCTTCATACTCTGTGTATTCCTCCTGGCCAATCTCTTACACTTTCTTAGTTTCAGGTTACAATCTGTATTTCCAGCTCAGATACATCTGGGATCTAACCCTTACATCTCCTTTTAAATGACTCGTAATGATTCAGTAGGTCTGTGATGGACTTTGTCACCACTATTGCACCAAATATGTTCCTTCTTCTACGGTTTTTATGTCAATCTTCCCAGTTACCTTAGAGTATTAAGAGTATCCAGAATGTCAATCCCCCACACACTTCTGCTTATTCTCCCTATTCCCAATGACTCCTAAATTATCCAGTTATCCAAATCACTTTGTGGGAATAATTTTTAATTCTTTCTTATCCCTTATTTGTTCTCCTCTATGTAATTAGACATCCACTTGTACAGATTATGCCTTTCTAGTATCTCTCCAATCCACTCATTTCTCTCCATCGCCATTGTCTACCATGCTAGGCCCAACCATCAATTTCTTCCTGAAGTATAGCACCAGCCTCCTAACTGGTCACTTGGCACTCAGTCTTTTTCTCCCACACTATAGACGTAACACACAGATGAAATGCAAGCTTTACTATGTTTGCCCCTTCCAAAAATCTTTCATTATTTTGGATTAAGTCTAAACTCTTGAATGTGGCTCATGATAATCAACATTATCTAACTCTGGCCTCATCTTATGACATTCTTTTCCTTGTACTCTACTCTAGTCCTACTGAACTTATTTCTATTTTCTGCTTATTTTATATTCTCAATTATTACTAAACTAATTCTCCTCGCTCTAACCTCCCCCCTTTTCTACTTACTCTCTCTGTTAAGTAACACTTTCTCCTCTTTCAGGCATCTGCTTAAAATCTCTGCCTCTGGGAGGCCCTTACCTGACTAAGTCAGGTCCCCTGCCACTATTTCCATAGACTCCTGCCCTGCCACTGTCATACATGCACTATTCTCTGTACATTTGTTTTCCAGTCTTTCCAGCATAAAGTTATTCCGTGTTCAAAGATACTTTTCTGAATGACTAAAGAAGCAAAGAAAATAGATTCCAGTCTGATGGTGGGTGCCAGTTGTGTTCAATTGCATCAAAGAGGTTAAATACCACAAGAACATAAGTGCTTTTGTAAAGTCACTGGTGACTTTGGTGAGGGCAGGTCCTGTTAGGAGGTAGAAGTAGAAGTCAAATTGGGGGAAACAAAGCACTGGAGATAGAAGAACAGTCCACTCTTTTAAGTAACTTGCTGAGAAGGGGAGGAGGCAGGAGCCATAGACTTGCAGCAAAAGCCTCCTCAGAGGTTTCCTTGCCACCCTCAATCAGCATTTCCAATCCTTCCCCTCTGTAGTTGCCAAGAGGGGCTTCCTAAAATGTAAACCCATTAAGACTATTCTCCTGCTTAAGTTCTGTCAACATTCTTCGCTGCTTTCAACATACATTTCTGACACTTTTGTTTGGGGGTATGTGAGGTGCAAAGATCTGGGTCCTGCTCCTGTTCTGGGCCCAGGTCTTCTCATTCCCCCTATAACCAGATTCTCAATAAGGCTAGGGGCTTCCAGCCTGTGTGGCTTTGATTGGAACGGCCTTCCCAGCTCAGATCTTCACAACTCAGCTCCTATAACATCTCCCCTATCCTCAGCCCTCAGTGAGTTTCTTGTTTCCTCCTCTCTCCCATCTCCAACACCCAGATTAGAAGTGTATTCTCCCAGTGGCCTGCGCACGTCTCCCTTATTGTATTAATCACAGCCCGAGAACAGTATTTGTTTCTATGCTTCTGTAGCCCATGAGACTGAAAGCTCCTCGAAGGCAGAGATATCTCCCCAGTTGTATCCTCAGGGTCTGGCTGTGCTTGGGCATATGGTCACCGTCCAATAAGTATCTTTGAATAAATGCATAAGAAAGCACGGAATAGTTTGTATAGAGGAGTTTCTCGAAAAGAAGCCAATTAAGAGCGTTATTGCCAAGAGGACAAGGCTTGTTGTTGCCACTTTGAGCGATCTGCTGGCAGACGCCGGGATCACTCACCTGCGATCACGAATTTAGCCATGGCCAAACGAGACCTAGAGACTAGAACCGCGGTATCCAGGCAACCACGCCGCCGCGGGTAGAGCGCAGGCGCACTCCGAAGTTGGCGCCCAGCCGGGGTTAGGTGTTTACAAAGTTAGGGCTTTAATTCATTACGTGATCATGCATTGCTTTTATAAACTCTGTGATTTACCTCATTCCTATTCCTATATCCTGGAAAATTAGGCTTTCTCCTTGGTAGGCTTTCTTCTTTTTGACTAAATCCTTCGGCAACCACCACAAACAAACCATTTTTGGCCTATGAAGGAATCCGTAAAATCTCGCGATATGCGGAACTCTCGGGGACACTGTCATGGCGGCGCCTACGTGAGCCTCACTGTTCTGCTCTAAGGTGAGTGAAGGACCAGCTTAAGCAGAAAAATTGGAAGTATCACACTTAGAGTTTTCACCCAGGGGAAGGTCTTGGGTAGGAGTTGAGGGGAATTAAGTTTAGGAGGTGGTTTAATGCTAGGCTGCTCAGGTACGAAAGGACAGGCACCTGGTGAGGCTAGTTTTATCTTTCCCTTAAACGCAGGCCACGTGCATACATCACCTTTTTTTTCTCCTTCTTAGCAGTTCTACCTGTCCGGTTCCCTATTCTTAACAGTCTAGGTTGGGCCGCTGCAAAATCCTCATGTTGAAAATCATCTCTCACTGTTAATTCCTTTATTTTCATATTTGAAGACATCTGCCTAGCGATACTAGCAAAAGCCCTTACTACAGAGGTAGCTTTATGGAATGCTTTCCAACCAGAAATTCACTTAAAAAAAAAAATCTCATTTATACAATGATTACTTACAAAGTAACCTGGCTTCTTTAAAACTACACGTCGTAGTACAATTGGAGGAAGCCTGTATTTGTGAAATAGTTTTATCATTTTAAAATCTTTAATGACTCCATAGGTTCCCATCGTGTCCTTTGTTAAATACATTTCATTTCTTTAAGTAAAAGTTTTGCTTATTTTTTTCCCCCTTTCATTATCCCTTTCTCTACAGGAAAACGACAGGGTCTGTTCTTTTTCAGTAGTGGAAGTGATGTTTGTTTCATATTGACAACTTTAAAGCCATTTGGAAGCATTTCAGTGAATAGCAAAATGAATAACAAAGCAGGTTTCTTTTTGTGGAACCTCAGACAATTCAGTACTTTAGTTTCAACAAGCAGAACTGTGAAGCTAAATCCTTTGGGATTTTGCAGACCAGCTTTTGTTTATTCAAACTGGAACCTAAGAAACCGCCTCTTAAATGACTTTGATAACAAAATTCAACCATCTAGATCATCTGTTAGATATCTCTTCCAAGATGCATTCATTTTTAATTTGGGAGCTGATGGCTTTCAAACAAAGGGCAGAAGCATGGTAACAGTTTTTACAGTTGACAGACAACTTTGTCCTAGAAGACTGTCCTTTGACTCAAGTCGTTCTCTTGTCTCCATTGGTGCACACAGTAAAGGATTCAACAAAGTAAACTTTCATCATGAAGTCTCCAATGAAGATGTTCTCACCAGTGAAACAAAACCAACCCCTGTCAGCGACAGAAAACTGTCTCAAGAGTATAATTCCCTGAGTGATGTGTTGGATGCATTTTCAAAAGCGCCTACATTTCCAAGTAGTAACTATTTCACAGCAATGTGGACAATGGCCAAAAGGCTGTCTGCTGACCAGAAGCGTTGTGAAAAACAACTGATGTTTAGCCACCCTGCGTTTAACCAGCTCTGTGAACATATAATGAGGGAAGCCAAGATTATGCACTATGACCACTTGTTGTTTAGTCTTCATGCTATAGTGAAGCTTGGGATCCCTCAGAACACTCTTCTTGTACAGACTTTGCTGAGGGTGATCCAGGTAAAATCAAAAAGAGATTTACATGTTTTTACTTGATTTAGAATATCTTGAAAGAATGAAGGGAAATAGATATGTAGCCTTCTTATAAGAATAGACTAATGTAATGGCACATATGTTGTATGATTTAGAGACCTTCACTAGGTAGGTTTTTTTCTTCCTTTTGCTATGAGAATTTATGAAAGCTTGCCCTATTTACCTTCTTGAGGGTTTAAGCTAAAATGAGGAGATGTATTATACATCTAGCATGATGTATAATACAAAGAAAGGTTGGATAGTTGAAGGAAACTGAGAAGGGAAGGGAACTTAGTCCATGGTAGAGTTGGAATTCAAGCCCAGTGAGAAATGATGCTTGAGCTTTGTAAGAGGATTGATAGTCAAAGGGTTAGTATTTTAAGCAGAGAGGATTGCATGCCCTGAAGTTCCAGAGGAAAAGTTTGCAAGTGTAGGGAGCTGAAAGTAGTTTGCTGTGGCTGAACTACATAATGATGGGGTTTTGTGTTCGAAGGGGTGGAGAGGAAATTGTGCACATGCTGGTTAAGGTGGAGGGTTGAGGGAGAAGGGGCTTAGTGACAGGACATGAGGCTAGAAAAATAGGAGCCAAATCATAAAGAGCCTTTCATGTCTGGCTAAGGAGTTTGTATTTATCCTGTAGGGCCTATAGTATAGGCCAGGGGGGCAAATCTATGGCTGTGGAGCCACATGTGGCCTTCTGTATTCTTGAGTGTGGCCTTTTGACTGAATTCAAATTTTATAGAACGAATCCTTTTAAAAATGAAGGGATTTGTTCTTCAAAATTTAGATTTGGTCCGGGGTCCATACTTGGGGATCTGAAGGGCTATGTGTGACCTTAAGGCTGCAGGCAGTGGGAATCCATTGAAGAATTTTGAACAAGTGGGTTGACATGTTCAAATTTGTATTTTAGATCATTGAATGAGTGGAAAATGCATCGGAAGAAGGATGAAATTGGATGGAGGGAGCCATTTTTAGTTTATTTAATTTAAAACAAGATATTGGTGTCCTGCATAATGTCATTGGAATGATGGTAGATGTGATAAAGGCAAGATTAGCTTGTTAATTAGTCACATTTTAAGAGTGGACACCTCAGACTTCTATACTCAATGATCATAATTAAATAATTTTTTAAAAGAAATTTCTTGGGAATAATCTCACATATATCCTATCTTGCTATAGAATTCTAGAATAAGGTTCATAATTATGTAAGAGTTTTCAACTTTAATTTTTTACATTACTGAGATTTCCATATGTTCTCAATGGAGAGTTTTTATTTTGTGTACATATGCAAAGTTTAAACCACAGAATGGTCATGTTTATTAGGTAGACTGTCATTTAATTCCCTATATAGTCATTTAAAAGTGATTGTAAGTCACCTTACCTAGTCAGAGATGCTCTTTTCTAGATTTTGGATGCATATTCATATCAGCATAGCATGTGCATTGGTGAGGTATGAGCAGTGGGATTTTGGAGTCAGAATATCTGTGTGTCTGAGTTGTCTCACTGACCTGTCAGAATGTTATAAAGACATGTTAGAGGCGAAAGGATGGTTTACCATCAGTGAATTTGCCCTTTAAACACACAGTCAAGTGGCCTTTCCTTTCACAGCAGGAAATGCTCCTATGGGGATGAAACTTCATAATCTTTCCACCCTTATCCATTTATTATCAGTATCTGATTTTCATCTGAGACTGATTGGTTAGTCATGTAAGTTGAGCAAAAGACCATACCTCTTTCAGTCTAAGTTTCCTCCGCTGTAATTATGAAAACTCTCATGAGATGTGTAGATTGTGATTAAATTATAAAATACTAGATAAGCTGTGTTGTTGCTATGTACTTTTAAAATTATGCCCACTGTTGTTTCTGGAATCTAAATTAGTGGCTTAACTAAAGAGACCTGAAGGAAGGATCTGTAGAGCCTGAACTCCCCTTGAGACCCAAATAGTGGTGATAGAATGTGGCAGGAAGTGTTACTCAGAAGATTCATAACTGAAGTTTTCAGCTTGATACCCAGGAAAGGATATAGGGAAACTGTAAGGGCAGAGCCATCTAAGGATCCTTAGGAATGAACAAATTGCCCATTATATCAGTAGCTTTTATATTACTGCACTCAAACTCTTTTGTTTTCATCATGACCTTGGTTTCTAAGAAGAGGTTAAAAATAGGGCAGTGCCTGTGGCTCAAAGGAGTAGGGCACCAGCCCCATATACCTGAGGTGGTGGGTTCAAACCTGGCCCCGGCCAACAACTGCAAAAAAAAAAAAAA